GTCGTTTTGTCGAGTAATTAATCAGAATTCGCGTGTTCGCCGTCCTTCTCCCTTAAAAACAACGATGGGGTTGAAATCTGCCTGTTCCTTTCCTGTGGGAAATCTGAGGAACAATGGAAAAAAATCTCTCGACGACAGGCACTTGGATTAGAATGGAAAGCAACAGCGGCGAAAGGAGCGAGCGGTGCCCCTTTCCCAATCTCGACTCACCGCGCCCTCTGCTCCCAAAGGACATTCAGCAATGCGAACGAATAAAAGCTCCTGACTCTCCCTCCCTCTCCTCCTCCTCCTCCTCTCTCTCTCTCTTTCTCTCTCCATCGGTGAACTGCATTAGTCGTTTGTGCTTTTGTGCTCGAGGAGGCGCGTACGCCGCGGTGTCTCTTTACTTCGATTTTCGAATAATCGATTAAGCTTCCTCCCGCATTTTGCTAGCGAAGCGGTCGACCATGCTCGGCAATTCCGTTTTCGTTCCAAACTTAACGATCTTTATTATTATACTACCGTGTATCGTGGGATCGTAACAAACGGGGCTAATTTTTTCCCTTCCGTTTAATATATATATATATATGTATATATTTATCGTTACAAAGAAAGATTCTGCGGAAATATTTCAGGAAATATTATTTTTAAAGAGTTTCGTACACTGAATTTTACTCGTACGCGGCCGTAGATCGTGTATCGCTGCGTCCCTATTGTCCTCCTCGTAATAATAGCGAGAATCCGCGGGAATAAAACTGCTATCAAAATCCGTTGCTGTTTAAAAAAATCGTCGATGGCGCTCGCCGAAGCGGCGGAACTCGGGGATGGAGGAGGAGGAGGAGGAGGAGGAGATGACGTGGCGCCAATAAGAGAACGGTAAACAGAGGGAGGAAGCGATTAAAGCGCGAAAAATAAAACGGGAAGAGGAAAAGGGGAGGGGGAGGAAGAGGAGAAAGAGGAGGGAGCCGGACCCTTCCCCCCTCCGGGGGAGGAGGGAAAAAAGAATTCGCGATGGTCGCCATTCCGTCGGTCCTAGATCCTGGAGAAAATATACGCGCACGGTGGACGCACACAAGTCGTCGACGCCACCGACACAGGGCCCCGGTCGCCCCCTTTCCGTATGCAGTTGGGTGCAAATTGGTATTGAAAAATCTCGAAGTCAATTAAAACTCGGGGTACAAAGGATTTGGCGAGACAAAATACCAATTATCTCATGTCCTCCGCCTCTGCCTGTCCCTTCGATTCCCTCCGTCGCCCCTCGAGGGGCGGGAGGGAGTTGCGGGTGGTGGGCGAGCGAGGTGACTGAAGGGGGTGGCGAGGTGGGGCCGAGAGCGCTTACAAGAACTCAATTCCATTAAGCATTGAAGTGAATAAAACGAGGCAGTTCAGCGTGGATGGGCATCTATATAACGCAGCTCTCGCATCTCGGTTATCTGCCTAATAAAGATTCGACTGCTATCCCTCCCCTCTCTCTTTCCCTCTTCTCCGCCCCCCCCTTTCTCTCGCCGCCGATTCTCCTCTGCCACCCTCCACGACATAAAGCATGTGCCAGCGAGAGGTGTCTATGAGACAATCCCCCGGGATGACAATGCTTATCCCACGTATGAATGCCACCGATGCTTCCTAGGTAATTTAAGTATGGCCAACCCTCTTCCCTCCACCCCGACCGCGTCATCCTCTCCTTTTCACCATTTTGCTTTGCGTCATCTCCACCTTCGACCCATTGCCGAGGAAGCGGTATATCTTCGGGTGTGCACCTCGTGAAAAACCTCGTTGTCCTCGTTTAACGATTGCCATTAGCGAACTGAATCGTTTCGTAACCAGCCCCTTTTCTCTCTCACTCTCTCTCTCTTATTAACGTTCTTTCAACTACGATCCTCGTCGGTTGGAAAAAGCGATTCCTTTTTCTCTTTTCTCTTTTTTTAAATTCCTCCCCCGATCTTCTTCAATATCGAATGGAGTCCGAGATCCGTTTTTTCGGTACTCTGTTTTTGTGCACCGTCGAGAGTTATTTCCAAGGTCGTTCCGAATTGAAGTGCCGTGAGAATTGTGCGAGGGTACGAACAATGGCAGGCTTTGTTTTAATAGAGATTACGATTTCACGAGTGCACATAGCCGGCGAATGATATATTTATCCCTGTCCTTTTCACTTCCCTTCCTCCCTCCTTCCAGCTTCCAAAAAAATTCTTTACCCCTCCGCGATTTCTCGCATTCTACATCGAACCATCCATCCTCCTCCTCTTCCACCGATATTTGTCCGACTTCAATTGAACAACTCGTCGCCGATCGATCAAGTTTCGAATCGCAATCAGTCGAACGAGTGAAATTAATTAATGAAACGAGTCCCGTCGATCTTATACGTACGCGCGAGGGAAATTAGTCCAAACTATCGAGCAAACTATCCCACGGAATGAACGAACTTGCCCCAATTCAAAGGCGAACCCACCTTTCGCCCATCTTTTCGAGAACAAAAGAATCATCGAATACCCGTGTCAAGAAATAATCAACACATCCACCCACCCGCGAAACGTATTCGAACTTCCAAACTCCTCCTCAGGATTGAGTTCTCTCTGACCCAAGGGTGGCAAAATCCCGACTAATTAGTAATCGTCCTCCGGTTAAATCCGCAGGTGTTCAGGCAGACAGGACGCCGAGCGTGTAATTCGGATGCGCCGGATTATCCTCGCCACGTTTCAACGTTGATCCTCGCAAATTAAGTCGACACGGAT